TCATATGTTAGAAGGTGTGAAATTTGATGTCATAACGTTTCATTTAAACAATTTGAAAATTACCTTAAAATAATTTCAAAATAAATCATTTTAAAATATTTTAAATAATTTGTCTGCTCTTGTGAATTTTTTTATTGCGATAAAAAATACGCAATTAGTTCTCTCAGATATATTTGTGGATTTTCTCCAAAAACTAAGTGTAACGAGTCGGGCTCAGAAAGAAAAATTGCTAAAGCGATTTGACATTTGCCTAGTGATCCCCCAAACACATTCGAAAGAAGATTTCGCAGTCGGCGCTGAAATGCCCCAAGCCCATTTGATACGGCCAACCGTTCGAAAAGCTCTCGCGTGCTTCAATGAATAAATTCAACTTTGATGTCGCAATCAATACGCACCCGACTTCGTAATTAAAATTGAATTTTCAGGACAAATTGAGGAGGATCGATCGACCTCGTCAGTCATCGAGTGTGTTTCACGAGAGATCCTGTTCAATTATCGTCGCGCACAAACCGGATTCTACGAAGTTTTAAAAGTAGCTGCCGACTCTTTTACTCCCATGCGCCTTGCATGCCTATACTTGTACCTACCACCATGGTTATTTTTGCACGAGCGATGACGAATCGCAAGGGCAGGGTCGTATATATTGCACAGTTTCGAATAGTTCTCGATTCTAAGAGATCCTACGTTGGCGAACTTGCCGAGTCACTGATGACCCAGACCTTAAGAATGTTTTTAAAAACTCCTAAGAGAATGTTATATAAAACTCATACAATAATGAAAACAAATATTTCATGCGCGCGTTGTACAAAAATATCAATAATTTTAATACTGTGAAAAAAGTTTATTTATTTGATTAAATCGTTCAACTAAATACTATTTTGTTAAAATTGAACATATATAAAGTATTTATATTAAAAACAACATATTAAATATAACGTCTATTTGATTTAAATACTTACATATGTTCAATTAACAAAATCGTATTATAGTTGAACAATTTAGTCAAGTTAACTTTTTTTCAATGTATTTAAATTTTTTCCTTTAATCAATATTATATATTTATTACACAATTGTATTATATTATAATTATGTTAAATTATAACATAATTATATTATACAAATAGTATTAAAAAAAATTTTTTTTTAAGAGTACAATTAAAATTGTAAAATTTTATGCTACGATATATTTTTATAAAATTTGCTATAGGTCAAAACTAACTTATTGTTAGTGAAAGCAATTGTAGAAATAACTTTTCCCGTATGGATTAATTCGACTTTTCAAATAAAATATTTTTAAAACAAATTGTTCTAATATCGCAAGAATCTTTTCGATGTGATTTAATAAATTCAATTGTTAAAGTTGATTTACGCACGAATGTGAAACGATACGTTACACGGAGCAAACTATTTTTTTATATATAATATTTAAAGGTATAAATTCATATTAAATTTATATATTATATGTCAAAACAAAAACAAGAAAGGACATGACATTTCGGAGATTTGGACATAATAGAAGAAAATATTTTATTCGTTATATGAATCTGTTGTTTTGTTGCGTGACTCTCTACAATGCATATGAAATATACATATATATTATATTAGAGAATGTCAATCTCTCTCCAGTAATTTATATCAGTTTGCAAAAATGTCATTTCAACACAGAATTGAATATTCCACCCACACGAGAAGAGATAATAGAGTATATCTCTAGTAAAAAAGAACATCTGTTGCAAATTAAAAAATAAAAGCGCAGTCTATTATCATCATATTAATATAAACTATTGCGTAAACTAAACAGTGCTATTCAATATTATCAGACAATGACAGGAAGCGGTATGTAACAGTCGACTAAATGCATTTTGTTTCTCATTAATATTTCGCGTACTTGGCGTTGAATAATGGTCATATAATTCCCAGACAACAATTGTGATGAAAATAATGATCTTTATAAATCAGCCGCAAAATTCAGTTTTTTATCTATATATTTTACTTGTCTCTCCCTTTCTTCGAAATATGAACACATATATATACGATAAATATATATTAATATATATTAAATATGCATAATATATAAAATATATATGTAAAAATATATATATATGTTTATTAAATACATATATTTAAATACACATATACATATATGTATATTATAAAATAGTTAAAGGAGAGATATCCAAATGTTTCACGTAAATTGCAAGATATATAAATAAGACAATCGTTTTGTGCCGAACACTATAATATATGATAAGTGTATCGGAGTATTTAACTCACATGAAATTGCCTCCTTCGGAATATTGCTGAGCGAAAAGCCTTGCGCTTCGAAGACCGGCCTGACACTATCGCATTTGAGACCGGCGGCATTTGCCGTCGTTGCGACAGCGATAATCGCCGTAACAATCCACAGAATCATGGCACTCATTTTTCGTAGTCGTCTTTCTCGAACAAGTATAAAGGGGAAGAAAGGGAGAGAAAAACGGAATACTCCGTACAGTGGAAAGACAAAACACACGCGCGATATCGGAGATCCCGACACAAATTCACAGAGTATTTTTTTTTTTCGTTAACGACCAAGACGAAATATAAACACGTAGACGTTCGTACGGTCGCGATTTCCCGTATTATTATCGGCGCCGGCCGGCGATTAGCCGAGCTGTTGCTCGCGAGTAACGACGATCGACAAGGGAACGATACCGCGGACGTCTCGCTTTCGTCGAAGCAAACTCGGAATAACACCACCTTCTCCGCCGGTGCGGCACACACTGACTGAAGCGAGCGATGAAATGTGCGCCGGGACCCGGGATCCGCCGACAACGGCGCGCTTGTGTCGGACGATAACAGGTTTGAAAATCAATGCTGCCAACTCTTACATTTCGCTAGTAAATATTTAGGGTATTTATAAATACACCAAACGTTTTTACACCTGCTCCTTTCGTTTACGTTTACACTTTTTTAATTGCGTGTTTATAAGATTATTGCACAATATGATATGCAATTGCAAATAATTTCGTATATAATATGTAATATAAATAATATAGATCATTATGTATATATAAAAATACAATAATATTTAATAAATATAATAAAGACAAATAAATATAAAAAATACATATATTATAATATTATAATATAATATAATAGATTGATTATATCATTTTTATTTAACCTCTTCAGGGACGAATTTATTAAAGTCGAGAAAAGTTATTTTATCTCTTTTATTTTAATTATATATTTTTATTCATAATATACGTTTATATAATTATTAAATAAAATGAAAAAAATTGAAAAATAATTTGAAATTTTAAAAAAAATATACACATATATATGGCCATTGCTGTGCGTTACGATTAATTAATATTAATAATCATCGTGAAAAAATTTCATTACATTTTCATATATTAAAATTAAATATATACATGTACACATGTCACACACACACACACACAATATGTTCTTGTAGAAATTAAAAATCTAAAATACAGCAAAGCTATTTATAAATAGATTATTAACAATAATTTTCAATTTTTTTAAAAATTGTTATTGCTATACATGTATGTATAACGCAATAATACAAAGCGTAAACGTAAACCAAAGCTTTTATTTTACATTATATTCAAACAATATACCGTCTCTTCAACGAGCCATCTCGTAAACAATACTTATACGATATAATTATTTATTAATAAATAATTAATATATTATAAAAAATATTTTAATTTTCTGTTATATTCATAACGAAAAATGAGTGCCATGATCCTGTAAATTGTTACAGCGATTATCGTTGTCGCAATTAATATTTTCACAATATGTGTATATGTTATTACAAAAAAGAAAACAAAGCAATACTTTACTTAACGTCTGCTGATAACTTTACGCCTTACGCAATTATCAATTCTTGGTAAAATCCAACAGAACACTCAGATAATGTTTTGTGCTGATATAAAAAGTGCCAAAATCTGTCACTGAGATTTCAGAAAATAATTGTTTCACGCGGTTATATATTTGTTCATTAAACAGATATGTAAAAATTTGCATTCAAATTTTCAAAATAAGCTATGTTTAAAGATATAAATTATTTATATAATACAAATATAATAAATAAAAATTCTTGTGCAATATAAAATAATTTAATTATATTTAAAATATGCAGTGTTGTGCAATGGTTTCATATATCTTTATTCAACACAATATGTATATATATAAATTATTATAAATATTTTAACTATTATTAAAAATTTTCTTGGATATTTTAGATGCATTATATTGCATAATAAATCACGTGGAGATAAATGTACGCGACGTATTTTAATTTTTTTGCGACGAAAGAATAACTATATTCGAATAATTAATATATACATAATAAATCGTATTCAAAAAGTCATATTAACGAGATATTCACCCTGGTAATGTTAATGAAGAGTATATAATTTATATTGTAGCATAAATGAATAAATCTATACGTTAAAGCTAATAATAATAATCTATGAAATGCACTATACTCAAAAATGTGTCACTCTGTTTTGTCAATTAATTTCGCATATTAGCGCTTACATCTCGCGAGATGTAATAAAACAGAAATATAATATGCATAACATCATAACAATACATGTATAAATGGAGCAATTTGTGCTATGACTTGCTCACTTGAATCTCACAGTGTGAATGATAACAAGAAGATGAAACAATATGTATATGTAGATCTTTGTTCATTATAAAATTCTATTTTTTACATGACATCATATGCTAGAAGTACTAAAAACGTATTGCAGTACATATAATTATTATATTTTATTTTATATAAAATAGTATTTCCAATTTTCTTATATAATATATATGTATAATAATTATAGAAAAAATATATATATAATTATAAAAAATGAATTTAAACATATAAATTTAGATACCAAGCAATTAATATAAGTATAAATTAGACAATATTGTTGCATCTTTCTGATATCATTACACGAGTAAAAATAAAAAAAAATTTACTCGTAACTCACCAGTACGATGCGTAGAATGGCAGAGTTGTAGTACAGCATATTCTGCAAAATAAATATATTTAATTTAAGACAATGTATAAAATAATTAAAATAACTCGAAAAAATAATTGTTATGTACATAATTGATAATTTCTCGTTTTTTCTTAAATCAAGTATTTGATAGAAAAATTACAAACATTCGCTAAAATTTTTTCTAAACATTTTTTTATAAAATGTGTGATAAATAAATGTATAATTATTACATAACTTAAATAATTATAAAATATATATATATATGTAGATATATGTATATCTGTATGTAAACATTAATTATTATAAATATTTTATCAAATATTTTAAACATATATTTCGACATAAAAATTTAAAATATTTTTTACTCATAACTATATATAATGCATATAATTATATTAGATAACAATATATAATAAAATTTATGCTATATATCCTGAAGATAAACGAACATTTAATTTTTAACTTCACAAATAACAAATGATAAATTAAATTATGGTGATAGCTCACCTTATCGTTGCTCTGCCGTCATCTGATGTTCCTCGGGCCTCCTCCTTCTCTGGTATTCCTTATTTAGTATTCCTTCATGGCACTCACTCGCGAAGCCACACTTATTAATTATGATCGCGCAATATTTTACATGGCATAACACTCGCGTTACCTTTTTCCGTTCGCGACGCAGCGACGCCCGGATTTCATCTATCACATTTTCGACGTTAATTAAAACGCGAGAGCTTATTCGCGCGCGAACTAAACCGATGCTCTTTTCGGCGTCGCTGCTTTTTTCAAAGACGACTTATCAAAGCACTTATCGAACGACGATTCGACGACTCCCTCCGCACTAGGAGTCAACTATTCCAGAAAGATTGTTGGTTGAAAAACGCGGTTGTGAAAATCCCGAGCCATCCACGCACGATATCTGTAAACAAGATTGAACGTCAAAAAGATCGAAAAATACGACTGCCACGAATACCAAGAATTAACTCCTCGAGGGAGTTCCGAGAATCCCGGCACATCGCGAAACGAAAGAGAGAGAGAGAGAGAAATAGAGAGAGAGAAAAGGCTCGTTTCTCGAACACCGTCGACTCGTGATCGCGTATTTCGTTAATACACAATTGATATACGTACTTTTTGCTCTCCGCTGAAGATCTCCGGCTCGAGGATTCGCGAGAAAGCTTTCGAGACCAACGCACGATAGTGAAATGTAACAAACGAAATATGGCGGCGCGACCGTGTCGTAGACCTTGGCGATTTTTGTCGAATATTACGAGATTTGCTCGTCGCGAAACGATACTTCGACACGATGACCCGAAAGTACGACCGGAAACGCGCAATTGAGCACGTAGAATACGATCGACAACGCCGAGAAACGCGGAAAATTCATGTCGGAAGCGGAGCCGGTACTGCTCCCGATGCATCCTCGGAAACTCGCGCGCGCGAACTTTTGGCGGCAAGAGCTGTGACGTCACGCGTCACGTGACCACTCGCTGTCGGGAGGACGAACGTCGAGCAAGATTTGCGGTCGATTCGAGGTGAATCTCGCGCCTGCGATCGCGATCACGATGTCGGTACACGCGACGCGATACGAGAATTAACGTCAAGGCAATAATTAGCGTGAAACAGTAATTAATATACTCACATTCGCGTATACTTTCGCGGAGCGACGACACACACGAACTTTGATTAAGAACTATGAGAAAGTATAGTGGAGAGGGCAGCAGCATTCTAGATTGCGTTCGGAAATGTAGTCGCCTAGGGAGAAACGCTCGATTGACCAATCAGGGCGAAGAGATCCTCGGTCTCTGATTGGTCGGTCCAATTTTGCACTTTGACAGATGAGTTTCCGAACGCTATCCTGAAGTTTTATTCGCGCCAATATAACATTATTTAAACCACTTGTGTTTCATCGAGTCTTTACGTGTGAAATATATTTTTTCGAAAGTACTCTCAGATCTGAGATTTGAGTGTGCATCCTACGTTGGTTGTGACCAAATATCGTGTGCGACAGAGTCACAATCCATAGAACTGTAGAATGAATCGTTTATTATGATCCATCCGTGAATAAATTACCTTATTTATTAATTAACGTTTTGTGTGTGTGTGTGTGCGTATGATATTTGTACTGTATTTATGTTGATTGAGATATTCTATTTGATGAAACGAGAGCATTATTACATCAAACGTCTATTATTATTACACGCTATTCTCATCGTGTCGATAATTCATGTAATTATGTTAATTAATTTTTTTTTGTTCGCATAAATTATTTGTCACGACACACACATTGTAGCAAAATCTATTTCCGAGCTGTATTTTCTACCTTATTTTTAGAAATAATTTAATAATAATTATGCTTAGGCATAATTTTCCCTTCTCTTACATCGTTTTAATTTCAAGTATAAAAAGTATATAATATGATGCAATAGAAAGAAATAAAATCTATGTAAAAAGAGATAAAAAATATCAGAGAGTGCAAAACAGTGAGATAGATACAGCATTGCTGCATTTTTTTCAAAAGAATGCAATCATATTATTTATATCACATATATGTGTTAATTAACTATAAATCTATATATATGTATATTTATAAAATTAATTAGCACATATACATGATGTAAATAATGTGATTACATATCCTTTTTGGGAAAAAAGTGACAATGCTATATCTATTGCACTCATAGATATATATGTATACACAATATTGTTTTATGTAATCTAGTGATTTATATTGCTAATTTTATAGAAAAAGGTATATTACATGATCTTAGATATTAATATAAATTACCACTATTTTTACATCAAAATTATGCAATGAATTAAATATGCAGATTTAGTAATACATATATAAATTTTGTATATCTTTATTTTATATTAAAAAATAACAATATTCTAAGAATAATTGTTGATCAATAACAAATGTTGGACGGAATTGATGCACATAACGTGCTATTGTGTAGATTTTGATCTGTTATACTTGTTGATACTTTTTCCTATTCATTATTTTGATTAGCCTGGCACTATTAAAGAAACTTAATTTATAACATAATACTATGGAGATCTGTTTCAGAATAAAATATATAAATACAGATTATAAAACTTAATTTGTGATTTAACATATAAAAGTTCTAGCACAAGTATGATTTTTCAGTGAGAAAATATAATATCTATTATATGTTAAGAGATATCATCTAAATTATTGCAAGAAATTGCTGAATCTAATCAAAGTTTGGAATTTCTCTCTGTTTCATAATAGAATATCTTTCGCAGTATATAATTATTTAACCAGCATTTTTTATCTTACAATTATTGAAAAACATAATAGAATGTCTTTACATAATTAATAATAATGATAAAATCGAAGTTATATAATATAAATTATAAATATATAGTCTCGAGCTAATAAATATTTGTCATTGTAACTTTTAAAGAACATTAATATTACAAAAAATAGTAATATTTCGAGAATTAATCAAGAGATCAAATATAAGAGATTATCAAACTCAAAGTAAAAATAGCTGCATAACTATGCTATCAAAATGTGATAATAGTAATGTATTCACGCTTGCATAACTTTGCAAATATAACAAAACTAACAAGATCCATTCCTTAAACACTCATTATGTTCGTAACAGTAGGTATACATGGCTACATAATATCAGTAATGCGCATATAATGATAAAGCCCTTAAAATTATATGCTCGTTAGATCAAATTTCATCGCAGTCAAAAGATATCCACTTAATTACATCGCATTTTCTATCAGTCTATATGCTATTGTCTTTCAATGCAAATGAAAACTTCTATTGTTATTTAATATTAATATACAATATATATTATATATAATATATTTTCACAATATCATCAATTTCAGTGAATATTCTTCATTAAAAATTAATATAAGTTTTGTTTATAATATATATTGTATATATGATATAATTGTAACAAATATATCTATGCAAGTTTCAGAAAAAGATGACACGCTCTTAAAAATGCATTTTGCTCGATAAATTTTAATAGTCTATTTCTCATTAATTAGATAATCGATTATTTTTGTCAACATTCATTGATTATTCGATTAAAATACGAAAATAAAAAGGCACTTTATACTTTCTCTCTTTCTCTCATTTTTAATTAAATTTTATAGTTAATTTATCAGTTAATGAATTTTAATTATAGAAAAACTTCAATCATCAAATTATATAAATAAACTATTTTGATTTTAAACTTCCAAAAGATAAAACTAAATTTTTAAATTTTCTTATTGCACAATTATTAAAATACATCAGTTTTGCACTTTGAAAAATCTTTTTTGATAAATAAAAATTCGATTATTGCTCAAAATTGTTTTGCATCCCTTACATATATGTGATAGTGCTGTGACATAAGGGGCAAGCATTTATATTAACTACGTCGCGTTCCGCTGCAACATGATGTCTGCAAACGGTGCAGATCCACGCGATGCTGAGATCCATCAATGGTTTGCCCGAAATAATGCAAGCCGGGAATCTAGTCGAGCAATTAGGACATACGATGCACCAATCGGGTACCAGGGTTTCGCAGTTGACGCATTCTGCTTTGTTGTTGCGGGAGTCCTTTGGGATGTGTTTCGTGAAGATGTTCACTGCCAATTCTTCGTACTCTTCTTTCTTCGCTTCCGAAATCGTCTCAAGGCCCTCTAATTTTATAAAGGCCTTCGAACAGGTGGCAAATGCGTGATTGACGGCACTCGATAGCGCCAACAAACAGTAAATGTCTTCTACCTCTAGAATGTCCTCGTAATCTCTCAGTCGAAGAGCCGTTTTCATCGCGGCGTCGAAACTGCCGTCGTACAACTGTCTGTGGGCGAGCAAAAGGAAGTGATATGCCTCGGCACCTCGCCAGGCGTTTTCTATGATCTTGGTATCCTCGTTGCTTTCAGTGAGACCCATGACGATGTTGCTGCGACCGCCTTTTATCGCCGGCACGCTGTTGATGTGATCCTCGATCAGCAGCGCTGCGAGAACGTATATCTTCTTTACGCGTAGAGGATGTGACTTAGACCTGGCTTGCTCTTCGGCAAGACGAAACAATAACTTAGCCGCCTCCAAATTGTAGTTGGCTTTCTTGTACAGCTCGATTGCCTGCAGACGTTTACCATTCGATAATAAATGATTGGCATATTTGTTTAACAACTCACCGATCTGCGCCATCTTATAAGTTTTCGCCAGGTCGACAGCTTGGTCCCAGTGATTTAAACGTACGCACGTATCCACCGCAAGTTTCACATCGCCATACTTCATGTAGGCTGCCACCGCTTGCGAACTCATCCCTACGGAAGCCAGCATTCTCGCCACGGTCTTCAGGATCGGACTCTTATCCGGTAATTGCTCCACTGTCGCTGCCAGTTGATGAAAATCCTCCAGTTTATAATAGCACTGAATAAGCTTCTCCAGATTTCTGCTCTTCTCGTAATATTCCTTCGCGCTCTCCCAATTCTGTCTTTCGGCAAAGTGATCGGCAATCTTGTTGTACGCGTGCTCCATCTGCTTGTCCGAACCGCCGATGCCCATCTTCATCAGTTGCACCACCCGAAAGTAGTCACCTAATTTTTGGCGCAATGCAATTGCCAGGTCTCTTCTGTCTATGTCCAAATACAGCTTCTCGGCCTCGTCGTAATTGCCGAGAAACGCCGCTACTTCGGCCTTCTTCAGCTGATCGTTATGCACGTTCTGCAAACGCTTGATAAACTGTATGCCGAGATAATCCGTGCATCGTACCATGGCGTTTTCTGCCGTTTCCAAATCGAGCTTCGTCAACGCGGACTCGGCCAGTAAACGCCACAGACGCGGATGCGGGTTGTCTTGGATAAAATTGTTCGCCTCCTTCAGACCCACTTTAGCCAGCAATTCTCTCGTGTCTCTTAAGGATTTCACTTCCAAGTCAACGATCAATTCTTTTCGCGTCTCGTCTGGTTTCAGCATCAGATCGTCCAGTAAAACGCAACGTATTTCCAAATCTTGAAACGCACAAATGTATCCGGAACAGGCTATAGGTTCTTCGGGATCCAGCCCTCTTAAAACATACATCCTGGTCTTCTCCATAATCGCCAAGAGCGCTGGATTGTCCTGAGCCCAACACATGGCCCATACGTCCTTCCTCTCGAACTTAACTATATCCTCGCTCGCGTCTCCGTCTCGCGAATTAGGCGTTTTTTGCGGGTCCAGATCCAACATAGAGAGAATACCATTGGCATCCATGATTGAGACACGCGTGGAATCGCAATTAATTGCAATTCTGTGCAATCTTCGCGTTGTATTGTATCTGTTCATGAGTGTTACTTGCGGCAGAGAGTATCGTTGGATCATCCCCGATTCTCTGCCAACCAGAAGAATCTTTTCAGTGGCGTAGATACAACAGATTGGGTCCACGCTAGCCTTCGTACTGATGGGAGTCTCGAATGTACCGTCCTTGTCCAAATCCTGAATAACTTCTGTCACGCCGGTCGGCGTTTCGTCCACGTGATAGATCCTATATTTGCGCATCCTGCTGGGGTGTAGTGTTGAATTACGTGGTGTACGAAAGTGCCATATTAGGAAATTATTCTTGGACGCGGCCATGACCATGCTGGGAGTCATAGTGAGGTATAGCGGCTCCAGATCCATGAATTTAGAGTCTATTGGAGTGGCGATGGTGTTACAAACGAGCAGAGCGAATTGTTCGGTAGCTTGAGCAGGATCGTTTCTCACAGAGAGCACGCAATGTTCTCCGTGCGAAGCTATCGATATCAGAGATCTCACGTATTTGGTGCAACACGTGTTATTACTCGTATTCCAAAAGGTCACGCAGATGCCATCCTTGCTGATCTTCTCGTTCGTGAAGACAACCGTGTTGCTGAAGTAAGTCCATTTATAATCCAGACGAATATTCGCAAAGTATATGTGCGAGTCGACAGATAAGGCAACTCTAAGAGAAGCTTTCTCCCATGTGCAGCATGTTACTTCTCTGCCTGGTATCTTTAGGGTCCTCACGTGCTCGCCAAACGGTGTGTAAAACTGTATAACGTTCATGTCCTTTGTCTCTCCATTACTAAGTAACGGCATCATTCCTGTTACTGCTAAAAGAGATCCGCTACTGTTCCAACTGCACCATGAAGCAGTCACTCCAGTTTCCATCATAATTGGATTATCATCACTAGTGTCTCGCATCAATTGTATCATACCATTGCGATAGCAGATAGCAAGAGTTGGACAATCTATGGCGACATAACCATTTCTTCCATCATACCATTGTAACGCCACTATGATCTGAAACTGAGAGGTATTTAACGAGGGTACATTCAGTTTTGTTAGGAATACACCTTGATTATTGTAGAGATGAAGTTCTCCATTTTTCAAACCGAATAGAAGCAACTTTCCATCAGGAGACCATTGAACGGCAGAGAGAGATACATTCTTGAGTTCCTTACCCCAGATTCTATTACCATCAACGGAACCAACAATTACAGCTCCGTCTTCATAGACTATACATATCTTTTGACCATCACAGCTCCATGCCATTCCTTTTACCACAGATTTATTACGATTGTTTATCATCTCTTCGTACCATGACCCTTTATACAGCATCCAAACAATTATAACTCCATTTTGATCGCTTGAGGTCAGCTTCTGATGAGCTTCATTCCACGTGACTACTTGAACATGACCATTGTGGCCTTCTAGAGGCTGATTCATAGTCAAATTACTTGCTGCAGCCAAGCCTCGAGATTTCCCTCCACTGTGTGATCCATTGACATTAGAATCTACTCGTAACACCTTCAAAAGGCCATCTTCTCCTCCGACAGCAATGTATCCATCTCTTTGATTCCATGCTATACAGTTTAATCGATAGTTGTTTGGTATGGAAATTTTTTTACTCAGATATACAAACATCTTGTTTTATCAGTCAGACTCTCGAATTTTTCACAGAATGTCACACTTTGAGCTCTGAAACCAATACATTTAACTTATAATAAACTAAATTAATATATACTATTATATATTAATACTAAATTAATAACTAAATCAATATATTTTATTTTTCTCATAATAATTATGCTAATTTTCTAATGACATAATAAAATATGATTTGTAAAAATTAATAAGAATTAGGTTAGATGTCAAAATAATTTTTATCTTACCTTTGTTATATGAAAAACATTTCGTGCTTACTTGATTGCTAAAAGTAACATTCGAAATAACTTGTCAAAGTTATGTGTTTGACATAATACTTGTCAAGTTCTCCTTAGCAACGAGTCAACGTAAACAGAAATGCACAAACAAAACGTAATTATATGTTTTCATCAATTCGCGTTTATTAAATGCCATCTAGAAATTACTTTCCAAAGTTTATAATTTATCGTCTGCAGGAATCTGTAGCAGAATATCAATTCATAACCTATATATATAGTTTATTCACACACAGCTTCTATTTTATATTATTAAAATTTTACAGATTTTTTATAGCTATATATTTTTCAAAAGAAAACATGACGAATATATATATGTGATATATTTTATTTATTATTTTATTATCGACACTGCAAGAAATCTATATTATCAGCAACATTCTTAAATCACGCTATACTTCTATAAAGCCATCCACAGTACCTAACCTGATCTTGTCAGTATAGTATATCATCTAATATAAATATTGGATTTTTATAGTCTGCAATTGCGTTTTATTAATTTTTATAATTTATTATCAATCAGACATTTCTCGCAAATGAATATTTAATTGTCATTTTTATGAAAAATGACTCGTTTTGTAAGGTAATAAATATAAATACGCACATACGTGATTCCATTAACATTGTGGCGACGTTTATTCGACACACTTGGCCTCGGCTTTATTCGGCTGAGAAAAAGCAGAACGAATTTCATGAACGTTGAACTTTTCTATTTGTGAAATTGTGTGAGATCATATGTGTTGCCTTTTTTGTACAATAAGAAATTTTGGAATATGATTCTGAGACATGGCAGATAAATTAGGACATTTATCAGTAAGTACCCTCAAAACAATTTGATTACATTTTACAATTTTATTACAATTTTGTTTTTACATAATATTATGCATAAATAGAATATTATATAAATTTGGAACTCAATAGTTTCTATATACTACAATATAATTTTGCTTAAACATGACTATAAAATAAATGAAAATTTTGCAGGTTTCAATTAACTTCAAGCAAACAAGCGCTTTATTGGATGAGATTATATAAAGTGGATAAAATGATGCATTACGGGCCATGGGGTCAATATAATACAATATTGAATAATCATTGTTACGCAGCATATATTGATACAATGCCATCCTATCAACATCGTGATCAATTAACTGAAGAGGAAAACGAACAGGCTGGTGACGAGACACATGATACAATGACACCTGCTACTTCCGGAGACCGTAGTTCTAGTGCAGATCTGTTTAGATTAGAATTTGCAGCTGCTCAGTGGTCTAAGTTGGTTTCTAATGCAGAAGGCCTATTTACAAAACTCATGACGAATAATGTCTTGCCACACACTGAACAGGATCAAATTGAGCAGTGGCTGTGCATGAAACAAGAGTATGAAGAATGTATAGCTAGTGATGAAACCACTAGTTTGCAAGGATATGCAGAGAATACAAGAAGATCATTGGAACGTATTGAGGAAGTAACTGAGACTGACGAAAAAACGGACGAATCCGCGAATCAAGTAAAACTTAAACTTAATTCCAATTGTACTTCCAGTTCGGAGAGCGAACTATCCGATGCTGAAGAGGACGAAGATGAAGATGACGAAGAGGATCAAAGCGATGTGAGCTCAGAAAGTCCGGATTTTTTGGAGAAGTTGGATGAGTTTATGAGCAAGTTTAAAATAGAAACTGATATAATTGTCGGCTCTAAAAAGGATGATTTCAAAGAAACAAACATTGGGCTTACATCTCCATCAGTTACAAGATCCGTAAATAATAATTATGTACCGGTAGCTCGTCCTATACCGATAAGAAATCCAAATTCTAGGAGAAATTCTATGCTTCCTGGTTCGGACATGTGCAATGAAGTATTAGTCTTCAACGACAGTTTGAAACCTTGCTCTAATCAAAATCTTGGAAACCATATGTCAGAATATACTAAACCATGTATGTTAGATAATCGTGAATCGGAAGTTAACATTAATGATAATGCCATTAACGATAGTTTCCTTGCAATACAAAATGACAACTCGCGAGATTTGTTACTGGACGCTCTCAAAAACATAGAGATATCTGAACCTATCAAGGAATTAAAGGCTCTAACATTACATAATGAAGCAAAGCAAACACAAGTAAAGAAGATTCAATCAAATTTGGATGGAGCTCATAAACGTATCGAAGAACTGCAGGCGACAATTAAAATTAAACAACGTTTTATAGCGGATATGATTAAGAATTCTGACACGCGTACTAATGCAAAACAAAAATTCCAACGTAAACGCAATAAATTGGAAGAAGAGTATTACAATACGAGAACACAATTAGTGCAGGCGGAAAATGCATTTATGTACAAACAGCCTGAGGAAAAGACGTTACACAAGAAAGACATTGAAGTGATAAAAAGTAACGCTTTACATTACGAGAAACGAATGCTAGATATAGACATGATAAAGCAAATTGCGGGTGATTCAACGAAAAAGATTCTAGAGCTTGAAGCTTCGCTGAATACTTCTAAAAAGCAGATGGATAAGTTGAAGCGACAACTAAAACGAGAAGAAGAGCGTAAAAAGGAATTGGAGGAAGAACTTGCAAAGGATCAACAGAAGATTCGCGAACTCGAGGAGAAGTACAACTTAACTGCTTCCAAATTGAAGGAGATGCAATCGGAGAGCGAGGATGAGAGGCATAATGCAAAATCGAAGATCGATTGCTTGGATAAGAAGAAGAACTTGTTGGATGTAAGTGCGAGAATATCTCATCTGGATCACGTTTTGAAGGAAAAGTCCATGGATTTGGAGAGAACCGCGGATATAGACGAAAAGGAGGCTTTACGGCACGAGATAAGAAATTTGAGACACACTCGAGATTGTTTGGTGGACGAGAAATGCGACTTGGACGAAAAATTTCAAAAGGAGAGAACTCTGACTACGACCGAGGAACGTAAATTACTAGAATGCGGCGAAACTATCGAGGCTATCGACGCGATGATCGAGCATAAAAACGAAATGATATGTGGAAGAAAGGACTTCGATGAGAATCAGTCTCAACGCGAGAAGGGCGAGAGGATGCTGATGGAACGCTTGAAGAAGCTCTCTCACGGCGAGATAATAACGTTATTCATGAAGTACTTTCGCAAGGTGATCGACTTGAAGGAGAGTTCGAAGAATCTGGAAGTTCAGATAACGGAGCTGGAGGCGCACATCGCGAATCAGGATTGGCGGCTAATGGAGGCTGAGAAACGAATGGTCCTGATGCAGAGGCAGTATGAGGACAAGTTGCATTACGTTTTCCGACACATTGCGGAAGAGACGAGCAGCTCCGGCCACGAGAGGCTGGATAAGGATTCCGAACTCGCGAGATACAAGAAGGAGAACAGGGCTCTGAAGAAGCGTTTGGCGGACGTCGAGGCTCTCCTTAAAGGTACAACACCCCCGCGCACAGCCAGTCCCTGTAGAGCTCTACAGCAGGGATTGAAACAGATCGCGCCTAACACTCGTTCGACGACTAAGGTAACCAGACAGCGGAATAAGCTGATCATTCAAAAGACGACTGATTGCGATAAAAAGAAAAAGTGACTTTGTCAATAAACGAGTAAGTTTCCTTTTTTTTGCATATTATCAACGAATTTTGTTTAAATTTTTATAATGTATACACTTGTTTTATATATGGTGAGCCTGATAAAAAGTTCACTATGTATTGTCTTATATTTTTACATAATATCAATTCATTAGTATTAAAAATGCGATAGATTATATATAGAATTAAGTTTCGCTTTTTTAATACAATGAAAAAGAGTACTTTTTTATAATTTATATAGATTATAATTTGTGATAAGTTTTTTTAGGTGTGAAGAGCAATTAATACTTATTCTGTATTTTTGTAGGATATGTATATCGCTAAAAGTATATTAATCTTAACATTTTGTGAAATGTACCAGTATGTCAATATTGACTGATTGTGTTAATATTAGATAGGTGTTAAAATTAGATTGTTTAAATAGACAATTAATTAGTTTGATAATTACACTCGTTGAGAGATGAAATTCATATTCACGAATAAGGACAGATTTACAATGTACATTTAATTACAGGTCATTGCATGCATTTTATCTCCAGTTGTATTTATTACAGGATATACATATATAGTCGTAAATATTTCAGGCCCATATTATATATATAGTATATAATATTAATATTTAGAAAAATAATAGTCAGGAATCTTATTCGCGGAAGCGTATTTGCATGCTGCTCGTAATATCGCATTATTATTTGTAACAAATAATTAATTTCTTTATTGTGCGTAAAGCACTGAGATTAGATATTTACACGCGGAAATAGTGATGCTCAATTATATACATTAAATAATAGCATTTGAATTAATTTTAGCTAAATAATTTTTGAAGATGTAATGTAGTCAGGCAATTATTATTTTATATCATTGTACTTGGGATTAGGCCAACAATTTAACTATTGACTAGGTAATTAGTCTGACTAGGACATATTATAAAGTCGATTCCTTCGACAATATCGCAGATTCTGTCCAATGATTGTATTTCCTGAACGCAATCGTTGATATATAACATATATAATAATCTTACTATTAAATCCCAAAGTCACGTCCGACTATGTTAGTATTGTTCAAAAAATACATTCGAGATGGACACTGATCTCCACATTAACTCTCGCACCACCGAATTATTTTTGAAACGCAAAAATTATATCACTTAGGAGATATCCATTTTAGTGATTTAAATTTTTGTGTGTGTATTGGAAACTAATTATATTACTTTTATTTTTTTATTATTTTACGTTTTATTATATTATGTTTATTTTTACAGAAATTTCAGATAATCTTATGTCGAATATATTTTATTTCTATTTTATAAATAAAGAAAAGAAAGAAAGAAAAAATGTACATGTATATTATATTATATTATATAAAATATATAAAATATATATAATATATCAAAAATTAAGATGATAGAGAAATTTGTAAAAATGAAAGATTAACAAAGTGATTTTCGGTTGGGCGAGAATTAATATCGTTTAGTCAAATGTATAGAATAGTTTCGATTGTTTGGTATGACATATACATTAGTCACATATGATTCAGAGTTGATTAAGATCAAGCCACTTCCAATATAATTTATTGTAATTTTGTAAATAAATTTATGCTATATATAAAAATTTTCTTCCAGCTGATTATTTTTTCGAACTTATCAATAATCTATTATAAAATTATTGTGTTAAAATTATGTCACAAAAGAATGTTGAAAAATAATTTTTCAACTTTTGCCTTTGATATTGCTTTTGATATTTAACATCAAAAAATTGAGACAAGTAATGAATCTCTTATCGAGTTTTTATTAAAAGAATCAAATTTGTTGCGAAATTTATAATTTAATTAATATCTAGGTTTCGAATTTATGTTTATCAGTAATAGTAATATTATAAAGTATTTTTACTCTTCAAGTATTACCAGAACCGATGCGGTAAAGTGAGGTAAAAAGAGGAACGTAAATGGACCTTTGCAGCATCAATATCTACTCAGGGTGACGAATCACGCGATCACATCATTTTCGAACGTGCACATGTGTACAATGTATATTAATATGCGAATTGTCCACTAAGTGGCCAAGAAGCTATATTTCATGGTACGATGCTCACGAATTGGCATAGTCGCATATTGAATCGACGTACATAATTTTCTGACATGAAATTTGAAGAGCGAAGATCTCTGGATCTGAGATCAATTCTAGTGTCCAGTACCGTTATCGTGCTCGGCACGCGTGAAAACGGGATGATCCAGATTTCGAAAGAATTACGAGACATTGCATTGTGTGTTGGACCGCATCGTCCGCACAATAGCGATACAAATTTTAATTCTTTTTGTATTATTTTTGGATTATTTATACGATAAAAATGCTTCTCTCTCGCACTCCTTATACCGCTTTTATTCGAGGATATAAAGTAGGACGCGAACCATTTGAATTCTTTCCGTGTTCAATAAATAAAAGTCTTTATGTAATACCCCATTATGATAAGCCTAAACCGTTCAACGACTTTTTACTCTTGTAATTTTTTCCCTTTTATTGCAGCTTCCGCGATCACGAAGTTGCGGTCCTTCGATAAATTTCAGATTTAACGATTGTGCGATCAGCCGTGGTGTGTTAATTAAATTAGGTATACCAAAACAGATTTAAATATGTTTTGGTTATTTTTGCTCGTTCTTATTTTTTCTGTAAATACTATATGAATCGATATGTATATGTGCATGTATGTAATAAATTCTGAATCTTAATCTAAAAAGAGAGTGGATATCTTTGAAGTAAAAACACTGGATGCGATAAGTCGCTTGTAACAAAAATATAAATGGATTAACTATTCAATATCTATATAAAATTACGAAAAAATGATATTAAAAAATGTTTGTTTAGGTTTTATTACAATTCAACGGTCCACACGCAAATTTCGTGATACTGTCGACGATATTCTCCTCTTTAATTATTTCTTTATTGTTTGATGAACTTCTGAAACAGAAGCAAAATAATTTATATTGACAAGGTTGGCGTCAAAAAAAATTTTTTTTTCAAAAGTTCGATTTTTAATTTTTTTATGTTATAAAGTAGATTTTCTTAATAACATTTTAGTTCTAGAGGAATTAGTTATAAACAATTTAAAAAATTCTTGATATATTTATTCTTTTGGTAATTCAACTTTTTTGCAATTTTAAGTATCTCATTAAATTCATATAGAAATAAATTTATTTATACTTGTTGAATAATTTATCGCAAATGATTTATCGCATCCACTTTTTACGAGTTCAAAAGTATCCACTTTCTTAACAATTAAGTCAATTATTTTTATTAAATCAAATATTTTAAATGGCTACATAATTTTGTTGAATGATTATTTTACTTCGGCTATATGAATACTATGTTTTGCAATAATTTATTAATTAACAAAGCTATTACGTTACTTATTAATATCTCTTATATTGCTTTTGTGATCTTTAAGTATATATATTAAGTAGATATAACAAGGTTTCTTTCTCTTTGACTAAAACAGGCCTTGAGAAAAATGTTTCACGGAAGAGATGCGTTAATTGAGTTCCGTAAAAAGTGGATGAGAGCAGGGTAGATGTTGTACTTAGGGCAAACTTTGAAATGAGGGAGAGAATTAACGTTGGCAATTTTTTTACACACGCACAAATCGTCAAGGGACATCACGAGATTGTCGGATTTGCTTTAATTTATATGACTATGTGTCGATGCCGTACATTTTGCTTATCGTCAGCATGATATTTATCGTTCATTCCAGCAGTCACATTGTAATCATCTCTGCGTAAGAAATGCAATCATCAATGATATGAACAGAGCAAATCGCACATCCGAGTACTATAATTTACAGGTAATTACAATCTTAATACCATGACGAATCTCTCGAGATGCTGGAATTTCTCAGTATTCCCTCTAAAGTAAAGATCCAATTTGGATCATACGCCACGTAATTTACAATTCACAGAATACTATATAATGTTTCTACCATATGAACATTATATGTTTTTTGCAATAAATGGTTCAAATTCTTTTAATTTATTTGTGAATATAACGGCGCAGCATTTTTTTGCATAAATATTTATTATTACATTTTTTCAATTCATTACAAGAAAGTTATTTTTTAAAATTAAATGTATAAATAATTATTTATAAATTATATAAATAGAGAAGAGAACTAATAATAGAAGATAAAAGTATATGCAATTAAAGCATCTGAATTTTTTTAATTGTTATAATGTATTTTAATTTACATGAATTATTTATTAATAAATATTGATCATTAATAATATTTTCTTACTTTTTTTATCAATTGTTTTTTTTAAATTTTATCAATTATTTTTATTAATTATTGTATTTTTTCTAATATAAATAAAACATGTATTTTAATAAACTACATTACGGAATTTTGTTATTAAAATTCTCATGTACTATTTATATATCCTGTTAGAAGAAGCGTCTTACAACTAGTTTCCGTAGTGTAGTGGTTATCACGTGTGCTTCACACGCACAAGGTCCCCGGTTCGATCCCGGGCGGAAACATTTTTGTCGTCACTTGATTTTTATGTAACATACAATTTTGTATATATTTTTTTTGCAATCTATTGCTCTACAAATTGTGTACTTTACAATAGTAATAAAATATCTTTATATATTTTAAATGCAATGTATGTGTATATATATATATATATATATATATATATATATATATGTATAATATATTAATATGTAACATATAATATAATAAATTATATATGTATATATAAAATATATATTATAAATATATTAATATATATATATTATTATTATTATATGTTTATGTTCAAGCATTCATACTAATGAAATAATTTTAACGAAGATGATTTCAGTTGTCAGGATGGCCGAGCGGTCTAAGGCGCCAGACTCAAGGTTCACACCTTCTCGGTTCAAGACCGAGTTTTCCGGGCTTTCTGGTCCTCTCTGAGGGCGTGGGTTCGAATCCCACTTCTGACAAATTTTTTGCACATAACAATATTATAGATAAACAATGGAAGAAAAATAAATATCTATGATTTTGTGTAAAATTTTGCATAATATTTTTATTTTATTTGCATTTTACAAAAGAAAACATTTTCTGATAAAACAATAACTTATTATTACACATATATATATTGTGTTGAATTTGTGTGATATTTACTTATATGCAAATTATTTATATATTACATAATTTCACTGTATTTTATTATTTGTATGTACGTGATATGGTTCATTAACACACGCAGCATCAACTTGTCAGGATGGCCGAGCGGTCTAAGGCGCCAGACTCAAGGTTCGTAACCTTCTCGGTTCAAGACCGAGCATGGGCGTTCTGGTCCTCTCTGAGGGCGTGGGTTCGAATCCCACTTCTGACAAATTTTTTGCCTTTATATATTTTGCAATTATTATTTTTATGTTAGTAATTAAGAAATATGCAACCGAAAACGATAAATTGATCGTAAATATATATTAATTAATTTTGTATTCCTTTTATAATCAATATTTCTTGTTACACTCTTTGGAGAATTTTTTTTAATTGTCTTCTTCTATAATTATATATATAAAACATTTATGTCACACACACATATATGGTAACAGTTATTATAATTATCCATAATGATAATTATGTTACTGGATATAAAATAAAAATTTATAAGTTATTAATTATTAAGTAAATAATAGTTTATGTGTTATTAAATCTCTTATAATAAAATTCTGCAGAATATAGCATTGTTGAAAGCTAACGATATTATATATTAGATATAAAAATATTTACTATATATAAATATATTAGAATTTTGATGTGCAGTTGTTACTATTTCTTCAATTTTCAAGAATAAAGTTGTATAATCCGGTATGGTCTAGTGGCTAGGATACCTGGCTCTCACCCAGGAGGCTCGGGTTCGATTCCCGGTACCGGAATTTATTTTTTTTGTATTTAAAAATTTTTATTTTATCTTTATTTAAATATATACCTATATTAACATTTTACAATTAACAAATGTAAATATATTTTAAAAAGTTGGTATACATATATGTATAATATATAATATATATTTATTATTTATTTATTGGGTGTTCAATCATTTATTTAATTAACTATAAAATAGAGAGGTTTAAAAAATCTATAGCAAAATTATTTTCCATTCTTACCGGTCGTAAAAAAAATCACAAGTCGTTACATAAACCCAACACGATTGACGATACTGCTTATATAGTAATGTATGTGAGTGATGCACGTGAATCGTTCTACAGTAAAACACACATATCGTTAAATTTGCAAGCGAGTTGCTTATTTCTTTAAGTGGAAAATGATATGTCGTTTTAGACGCTCGTCAATTGCGACTCGGTTTTCCTCTTTATTGGCCTCTTATCAAAATATCCTGTCAAGCAAATGAAACGAATCGTGAGATTTTACGGAGAAATGCATTGCGGTAAATTACTCGTAGAAATGCAATTACCGGCACTTTCGTAAATTATCGGAAAGGAGGAATAAGCGAGGGAAACGAGACACATGTGTCACGACGAGCGAGAGAGTCTATAATTCGAAGGACCGACAATAAAATCGCCTGTCTGGTTTATCAGGGGTGATTTTTCGCGGGAAGTGGACAATAATGAATTCTTTAACAACCCTCAATGCAACACTTAAATATATACGCTGCTCGAGAAATTGCATCCACGTGACATAGGTGACCTCGTATGCCCTAGCACGAGTCCTTTATTCGTCATAGTCACGAAGCGGCATCGTATAGGAATGTCACGAAGAAGGACTGACAGTTTTTTGGAGCAATTTCGGAAATTAAGTGCTATGCACATCACTTATTTAAAGTAAGAAAAATAAATACAGTATTAATGTATTATATATATGTTTATTGTAAATATATTATTATACACGTGATTTTGTTGATCTCTTATAAATCTCAAAATTCGTGCTAATTAATGATATTTGTGAATTTTATTGATTAACTTCAAAATTCATTCTCTCTCTTGACATTTGTGTGATTTACGTTTACAGGTACATTGGTTTATGGGCTCTTGACTCTAATTCATCCTTCTTGTTGAAATATTTGTACTTCGTGTATAACAAGTTTATTTTGATAATTATGATCATCTTCATGGTGACACTATTAGCTGACATTTTTTCGAACTTCAACGATCTGTCGATCGTTACGGATGATGGATGCATCTTTGCTGGGATCGTCGTCGTATTTTTCAAAGTGATAATCTTCCAAATTCGTCGTGAGCAGATCGTGCGATTGCTCCACGAGACTATCGACGGCTGCAATCAACTTTGCAAATTTCCTGGTGAGTGAAAAATTGCTTATATATTCGTATAATCGAAACTGATGCGTTGGGAGACTTTAGGAACCATCACGTAAAAAAATGCATCATGTAAATATGTGTTCAGATGTAAAATGCATTATGAAAATGTGGTTTAACTTAAATCATTTGTTTCAAAATTATAGATAGCAATTTCTTCTTGTGAATATTATCGTTTTTTTTCATTATTTCAATAAACAAGAAAAGGATTATATAATAATTATAAAAGCTCGTAGAGTAATTATCAATTGTCTCCTTTTCTTCATAATAAAACTTTGTGATTTCCATATGTTACGTCAAACATTTTTGATAACGTTTGCGTTTCTCTTCATTATTTATTTTATAATATTATAGACCTGAAATATAGAAAACAAACAAAAAAATTTGGATCTAAATAATAAGAAATATTAGTCGTTATAAATCAAAATATTTTGGAGTAACTCTGATTTGGACGAAGAGCAATTAATATTATTCACGTGATCTTATATAAATGTTATTGATAGTGATACTGAATTTATTGATAAATCTCTATCAGAAAAAGAAAATACTATAGAAGAGATTTCTAGAAAACTGTATTTTATCAAAAAAGTCCTTTGTTTTATGAAAAGGTATTTCTCGAGAATAAAATATTAAAGTATAAAAATATTCCTAATTAAAATGCTCCAAATAAAATGTCTCTAACTTCAAATGCGAATTGTTTTATGGACTTTTTTATAAGTAAAATTATATATATATTACATGTATATACATTTATGCAAATATTGTATTTTATTGTGACTTCAAAGTTACAAAGCTTTTTATAATAGAATATTTGATTGTATGGTAAATTAATTATTAATTTTATTCGAAGATTAATATTTGTTAGTTTTACATTATATAATTAAATACGAAAAAATTGAGTTATAGAAGATGAAATTAGTCTCTTCCAAAGATGCTAAATGTCATATAAATGGCCTTAAATGCCGAGTCATAAATGTATATTCTATGTTAAGTAAACACGGTGTGACAGGACAGCACGTAATTTCGTGCTTTAATGAGATCCGCACGTCGAAAGGGACAGTGTGAAAGGGCCATCTTTCAGAGCTCGTCTTCGTTCTCTGTTAATTCAGAACCACTTGAATAATTTTTCTTCTGTCAGTCCTTATCGCGACGTATCTTCTTGACATGCGATTAAATATCTACACGCGTAGAAAATTACTGGACAGTTTGCATAATCACGCTTGATATATACATCTGTGGTGACACGTGACATTTCTTTGAAACTGTATATCATGTTTCGCTAATTCTAATATCGCATCGCAGAAAATACACATTAGCAATATTATTGACGCTGACTAACAATAAGATTGTACTTTTCTCCCTTCAATCCCCATCTTCGTCCGATCGGAAATGTTATTATTTTAATGAAAAATGCATTTAATTAAATTTAATTAATAATTTAAAAATTAATAATAATAAATATAATATTTTTTTATATATTTGTTGTTAATTACGATATTTGTCTTTCTGCTTTTTATCATTTTTTTTTTAACTTACTCAAGTTGGCGGCGAGGACAAAATTCTGAACAAATATCTGCTGCTCTGTCGCGTATCATTCTACGGGTTCAGCACGTTGGGCCTTTTCCTCGTTATCGCCTTGCTCTTTCTCGTGCCCGTGGAGAACGGTGAACTTCCGGTCAGGGCACGGTACCCCTTCGACACGACCAAATATCCGTGGCACGCAATCGGCTTCTTCGTCGAAGCCTGCACCATCTCCGTCGGAGTGACGGCCATCATCGGGATGGACAGTCTACACACTAATTTTTGCAATCTGTTTCTCGTACAACTCGGGATATTGAGCGAGCATTTCAAGAGTTGCAGCAGCAATAGCAGCCGACGAGACGCACCGTCAAATGGAAACGATTTGACGAACATCATTTGTGGGAACGCTTGTTACAAGATGTTCTCTTCCACAGTTGAAGAAAGGAACCGCGAAAAAGATAATTATAAACCAAACGAGATTCACCGCGGCAGCTTCGTCAAGCAGTTCAGAAGATCTGTCCGCAACCATCAATGTCTTCTCGTTATAATAGACAAGTTCAACAAGGTCTTCAACGCCGCCATGTTCGTCCAGATGCTCTCGAGCACCTCGATGATTTGCCTAACCGGCTTCCAAATCGCTCTGGTAAGTCGTAATAAGTCGTGACGCGGTCGAATCGTGATCAGAGCCTCGCTTTGTTTCGACCAGGTCAAAGGCCAGAGTTCCAATACCTATAAGTTTTTGATATACCTGGCGGCGGCCGTCTCGCAGCTCTTCTACATCTGTTGGGTAGGAAACGAAGTGATGTACCAGGTGCGATTATTTCTTCCGTAATGTAATAAGAGCTTTTTTTAATTAATATACTGTATTTTTCTATATATGCTGTTTTCATTAATTATTCATGTTACTTTCAATTAACGAACAAATTCATAACCCGCTTACGACATGATGTATTTTAATGTCATTAATTTAAGTATATGATCGGAATATTTTACTTATAAATTAATGATAAAATGTAAATGTTTTATATGTAACATTTACTTTCATATTCATATCCAGTTTATATCGAATATGTATAATGTGTGATTAAGGCGAAGTTAGAAAGTTAATTCGATATAAATTACATTTTAATATATGTATGGATCTATATATGCAATTTCTTCGAGAAATTGCAATGTGTAATTAACATGATACGTTATTAATTTCGGAATTATAATATATTATAATTAACTTTCTCATCGCACTGAATTAATGATCTTTGCAGAGTGGGTTGCTAACGCAAAGTCAGTGGCTCTCGGGATGGACTGATGAACTCTCTGCAAAGACCGGACGTATAATAAATTTAGCCATGATATTCGCGAAAAGGACGTTAAATCTGAAAGCAGGTTTCTGTTACGTCTTATCTATGGAAACATTTATCACAGTGAGTTTATGTTAAGAATATGCTATGATAACCTTTAGACCGGTATATCAAGTGGTACGATAAAAAGTATGAGATTATAATAATTAAATGACATTAAAATTATCTTATCACAGATGCTCAAGCAAAACTTAATTTATGGAGATTAAAATGGATTTTTCTTTTATACAATCGCATAAACTTTCAAATTGCGAGCGAAACTTTCAAGGAATCTCAAAAATTCTGATTTTGAAACTTTAGAAGGATAAATAGATCAATTAGAAACTTTTATTTGCAGCGTAGAAAACATTTTAAAAAATGAAACTGCTTTAAATATAGAATGGTTTTTTGCTTTTCTTGATATATTCCCGAATATCGAAAAATATTAGAGATATTAAAAAATATTTTACATGAAAGTTTCATGTAAGTAAAAATAATACTTCTGTTTAAACATAATAAGAAAATTTTGAATAAATAATTTTTTAAACAAAATTTTTTTGAAATTTTATTAATGTTAATAGAGATGGTTTTTTTTGTATAATTGTTTATTATTTTTTTGATATTTCAAATACTTTTCGAAATATATTGATAAAAGTAAAAAACTCCACGTATGAAGGATGGTTTTATCTTTTATTAGAATTGATTTTTGACCGCAGTCAAAAATGTCTAAATTCATCTATTTATCCTCTCTATACGCATATATAAAGTTTTATTAAAATCAGATTTTCGTGAGATTTTCTTCTTAACTTTAAACTTACAATTGTTGGAAAAAATATGATTCAGAAGTTCGAAATAATTTACATATTCCACCGAGACATTAATAACTTTGAATTATTATATATCGATGTATTATCGTGCAAGTGCGAAATTTTTCTTTTCTCTTTGAGAATCGATTCCGCTTTTCCTTACCTGCGGCGAATCGATGCCAATATTTATAAAAACGTTGGGACGAAAAAGCTGAAACGCCTCACAAACAATCACTATGAATAGTATTGCGTAAGAATCTAAGAAGAACAGAAAGAACAAAATGCACATCTCTCTCGCTTAAAGAGAGGCTAGCTACGTCTCCGCCCATCTATCGTGAACAACCATGTATTAAATCGATGGTGGTGTGATTGTCCGATACAACAAAGTACCTATAGACAATGTCAGTATAAAGTCTAAAGTTTTAATGGTCGAGCATTGAAGGGATTCGTGTACAACATAATCATTTATACATATAAGGATTATTCTACAATAATTTATAAGTAATTATATAATAGTAATCGGTCAATTTGAAGAGTGAAGTAGTCATATGAAGGCTGCATAAACACCTCATTAGACTTCTTATAACGCCTTTCGATCGCGTAATTATGTCGATATTTGCACGAAAGATCAATCAATAATTCATCGAAAATTGTTTGCAGATTTTACGGGGCTCGTATTCTTTCTTCGCTCTGCTGAGCACCATGCAGTCGGAAGGCGATCAGTGAATCCAACAACCTCTCGGTTCTAGTTATCGCGTAGCTCAACGTCTGAGGTCTAACGTAAGTGCATTGGAGCAACACGTGCACTAACATGTGCATCGCCGATCCGGAACGAAGTGAGTTTACCATTATTGTTATGAAGCTATATACATAAATACAAAGTATATTGAATCTTTTGTTCGAGCTTTGTTGGAACAAAGTTTTTGTTGGAATATTGACAGAGAAAATTGATATTGACGAATATGTACTTAATCGCAAGCTGTAAATATTTAGGATTAGAAATTTTATAAATAATTATAGATCATTATATTAATATGCATATGTAGTCTTGTGATTAATTATGTGGAAATTTATTTTAATTATTAATAATCAAATTATTTTGTGATTGATATATTTTCAACTTTAGATATTAAAATAATATCAGTATCGACACTCTCTCAAAGACAAAATGATATTTCTCTTTGTATAATATAGAAAGAATATATAGTATATATAGTATATATAGTTTATATAGTAAGAATATACAGTATATTATATACAAGAAGGAAAATAATTGAATTTTTTATAACTTATTTTTTTCGCAACTTATCATTTTTGGAGCAAATCGATAAATGTCGATTGCACAGAATTTACGAAGCATATCCTGATCCGTCGACTGGTCAGTGTTAGAATCACCGTAAATTCAAGTTCAAGAAACAGGTTGGCGCCAGTTTTTATGATTATGAATCCGCCGAAAACAGGATCCTATTCTTTCTCTCTTATTTGAGTCGCGCAGTCAAGTTGCAACAGCGACGAATTGCAATCATAGTTGTCGGATCTGACTGCTACAATCTTGACACGAAAGATCAGATTGATAGCGATCAAGATCTATACAGCTCGATTTGTATATGGAGAACGATCGTCAAGTACATCTTGTGCACGTGCATAAGCGAATGCACAGGAAGTGATCGTTTTCATTTTTTTACATAATTATCTAGTAGAGTTACAAGCATGTTTTATTGAGATTTTCAAACGATTCAAAATCTTTATCTATTTTATTTTCCATAAAAGTTGCACTTAATAAATCTATTCACGATTAAATCTAAAATAAAATTCTATAATTTATAATTTATAATTTTATGTTACATGTTTTAATGTATATATGTATTATGATATATACCTTTTCTACAGCTGTGTAAAAAAATTAATTTTTTAAATATTTTTTCTATTATATGATACATGTAAAATTGTAGGTATAGGATTCTGTTTTAAAATTAGTCGCGAATTATAAATTGTTTAAAGTAGACTTTAAAGAGAAGAAAAACGTTTTGAATCGAATAAATCATATATTGAGATATATTTTGCGTTAATTACATTAACAATTGTTTGAATAATTATACAATTTTAATCGATAATTTTAATTCGATTTATTCGAGTCTGTTAGAGTAAAACTCGGTTCGTTAAAATTTTTATTTTTATTTTACCAGACACTTTCCAATCACAGATTGCAACGAATCTAGAATTTAAAAGGTCCTTATAATCGAACACACGATTTCGTGTAATTCATGTCACGACACGTGATCACGGGTCAACAAAAAATTGACTTTCCTATCGCGATTCCGTTAGCCAATTTATTGCACAGCGCTTTTTCTAAAATGGACCACGCATCTTCTCAATCGTCCATTAATACTTCGCAAGTGTGTCGCCGAATATTAATAAACAGCGAAAGGGATAGTTCATCTCACGTTCAATCTCACGTTCGATGTTATCGCGTGATGTACGCTTTAGTGATTAGTTTCTTAATTAACTTCATTAAAGCCACTTCGCTCGCGCGCAATTAATCGTCGATTTTGCGACGCGCTTAATTAAGTATTCGTTAATATGGTAGTCGACGTCACAGTGTCGCGATTCATCGATAAACACGGAAATCGTGCAGATCCCCGTAGATAGAATCGCCTTATTCTCGGCTTGCAAATAAGGTATGTACGCGGACATTATCGGACAGAAGGATCAACACGGCGGTCGCGAAGAACGCGAGGCTGGCGAAATCCCGAAAATCCAGTTACGATCTCTATGACCTCGACTTGCAATTTACATTCATGATTTAATCCTTCCAGTATTAAATATTTATTGAAGAAATCTACCGCGTGCACGTGCGTAGATAAACATATAGGAAGCGATCTCTCATTTTTTGCATGATTACCTTACAGATTATCCGCGAATCACAAATATTATTAAATGTTTCTTCCAAGTATTTACTTGATGTAAAAAAACGAAAATGTTGAGTGAGAATAAAAGCTCTTTCTAAAATTATTTCCACGTGATTAGTATAACTAATTGTAAGTGAAAGATTCTTTCTAAAATTTCTGTATAGATATTTTTGCAAGATATATGTCATCATATAATAAGATGCAGAGGCCAATAAACGAACGGTTCAGAAATGTTGCATTTTTTAATAGAAATAGATTTTATGCACGAATTATTCAAACTCGATTAGTAATCAGCTTATTGGATTTTGTACTATTTATTTCAGGTATAAAAGATTGAAATTTGTAAATTAATTTTTCACGAATTGTGTGTATGTTCCGATTGAAAAATAATTTACCATCATCTCTGAATACCAAATAAAATTATGAATCAATTTTTATACAATATGTTTATATCAAAAGTTTCTTAATATTTAAAAAAACATGCAAAATGATGTTTATTCATTTCATGTCCAATTATTAGCGTACTGATCCCTTGCAAAAAAAAAAACAGAATGCCTGTAGTATTTTAATTACATGTAACACATGCAACTTTCCGACGCATTGCCGTCATTATATGGGTTTGCAGTAATCTTACTTTCATTTCGAGAACTCGCGTCGCGCTACCGTTGCATTTATCCAGAAGCAAGAACATTGCTAACATTTGAGACACGAACAATCATCATTTATCACGCTCATTAGTCTCGCCATACAGCAGTAAACAGAGGATTAAATGCGGCAGCCAGTGGTGAGCAATCGACAGCAATTAGCGAAAGACCGCTTGATTCTTGATTATCACCTGTTTTTGATCGAGCGGAACTCCACCTTCCAGCTCTGGCGAGAGAGCTCTCGCGATTCGTAGCTTCAACGAGGAAGCGGCTGGAGGAGACTGACGATAATAATACACGAGATGTGGATGATTATTATGAGCGCAGCGAAAAGAGAAAAAGCCCCAGAGCACTGCAAAGTGCCACGATACGTTTTTTTTTTCAACGCAGCTTTTTAGCTGCATCGACGTTCTCGAGAGATCAGGAGTCAATTAGCGTGTTCGCTAATATCTTTTCCATTTCACGGGTATTTGTTATCTTTTTCAAATGGTGCATCGCATGATTATAACTCTCAAGCAAGTGGAATTTATTTCTATCTTATATAACATAATGCCTATATGATATTTTTCTTAATCTTGTTTTGCATGTTCGAGTAAGTCTACGTGATATACTTTGTTGTCCGAGTAGTTTTGAATGATATATAAATTGATAATATTTTACGAATCAATTAAATAGCGCTTTAATATATCAGTTGCAGTTATTATATGCAGTTTTCTTTAGTATCTCTTTTGAATATTGATATTTGATATTAGTTATTATTAATACACATTAAAAAGACTGCTTATATGTGAATGCTATATGATTTATTTTTTTCGAGTTGTCATGCTTTTTAAAAGATTTGTGCTCTTTCTTGCGAAGCTCATCATAATAATTTATATACAATATTATTTATCATATTTTTTGTTTAAACTTTTGTTTCTTTATACTTAATAATATTTTATGTTTTATGTTTCTCGATGTTGTGTTCATGTTTTTTAATAATTTGATATATATATAAATCAAGATCGTAATCAAGATAAAATCTTTTACTTTGGTAAAACATAATTATTTTTAATTGTTTTAATTTAGAGATAATATTAATTGAAAATTATAACTTTTAGTAATAGTAAATGTAATAATAATAAATTATAAAGTTTGTTTTTGAGTTTTTTTTTAAATCAATTTATTAAATTATTGATTTATAAATTCGAGTTAAATGACTTTTGTGATATAATATACCGTGCGATTTAAATATTTAGCATTCTTTTTGTTGATATAACCTTGCTTAGTAATAAATATAAATATTTTGCGCTTTTTTCTCGTATCATCATATACACAATATATATAACATATTTATACAATATAAATTTAATATAAATAATATTAATGTTAAAAAATATTGGTTTACCAATATTTCCAGAAACAATAGAACATTACTCCAAAGATGCATAAAAAGAAGTTGAGTATACCATATATCGTTGTAATTAAACGTGATTTGTCGGAGTGTTGTGCATCATTATTTTCCAAACCTTCATACTTCGGAATGTCACTTTCTGTATTGAATTCATTATTTATCTCCATACTAATTAATTCTAAGACTAAAACTTATTTATTAGTAATAGAACATAATGATAAAAGATTATCAATTAATTTGTTTATTAGTATATATAGTAAGACTGTACGTAATTATATGTAGACATAATGTTAGTAAAGAACAAGTTTGTATGTAAGAAAGATATACATATTATTAAATATATTTTTATAAACTTAAAAGATATATACGTATGCATATATATATTATATATGTATATATATATATATATATATATATATGTATATGTATAACATAATATATAAAATACTCTTTTTATATTTACTTATCGATAAACATCAAAAGAAACAAGAATTGAAAGAAGCATGCAAATAATCATTAATTTTCAACTTTTATATTTGTAATTAAATATATTAATATTAATTAAATAAATATAATATATATTATAATAATATTATTTAATACATTATATCTTACCTAATATATATAAGATAAAAATAATAATAGTTACGAGAACTTTTAAAATTAAACGTAAATACATCGTAGACGTAAGTGTTTAATAATTTTCTACTTATTGTTAATTAAACTTAAATAATATTCGAGTTTGTCCAATCTTTTCTATTCGGCTTTCGTTATGAATATCATGATGCTATATTAATGGTCTGCAGAAAAAGCAACAAATTTGTTTTATATTAATGTACGTTTTATATATACATGTCTGTGATAGTTCAGGTTTTAACAAATTAAAAAGATCAATTTTATAACGATGAATAAGATTGAAAGAGATGGTATAGTACCATACAAATAATAGTAAAATTAATATAAAATAAATATAAGAATAGCAAAACTTTAATTAAGAACATTAGGGAAAAGAATAATACTTACAATTAGTTTGATAAA